AGGGACGCAATCAACAACACACCACCAACACCACTGAGCAGCAGTCTTGGTGTCAAATACTGACAACACCAGTGTTGACACTTCTGTCTTCACATACCCTTATCCGAAGAAAATCAATTATTACAGACAAAATTGTATCATGAAAAGGCAACCACTGTTGTTGTTATGTTTCTCTGAATTCAGCTTGTACTCATAGATATTTTTCTCATCCTTGATACTATAGAAACAATACACAAGACAAGAGAATTGCTTACACTGCGTTTATGTCACTTATAATAATATGCGTAAATTTGGTAAACATGCGTGCATGCATACATAATAGCTGAACCGTGTGTTAGAGATCATCTAATCTCTAAGTCCCCATGAAGCAGAAGGGATGTGTCTGCCTCTATGAGTGCCATAATTCTCCTGTTCTCCAGGTCGAGTAATGTCTGCAGTCGAAACCACATCATCACCCTCTGAAGTGGTAGCAGACTCTGGTGCTGGCTCCATTCATATGCCTTGTGGTCAGTGCTAACAATCTCCAGCTCTGATCTGCTGTCATTACCATCTTGGGATTTCTTTGCCTTTTTCTAGGCAGTTTTAAGTTTTTGTTCACATTCTTTGGCTATGATATAGAGCAGTCTTCACAGCACAGGTCCACCAGCAACAACATAAACCATAAGAGAGTATCATGAACAGGATTCCACCAAATAGTCCGTGATAGAGGATAAATTGGCCAACATCAGTTCCATCGTGTTTTGGTGTGTCTGGCGAGGGTTATCTGAACTAACGGAGGCTTCTGTTGGACTTGATCCATCAAAAATAACACTATCTCTATCGACCTGTTCATAGCATTTTCTAGTTCATACAGGGGATGTGTGGACGTCTCATTGATTACATATAGTGTTCCGTCTTCCGTGAAATATTATATGTAGTGGTTGGAAGAGTCAACCCACTCTGACAGAGTGGGAGTACCTCCTCGCATGTATCGAGGCTCAGCCAAAGTGTTCTTGAGATTCATCACAACATGTTCTCCATTCTCAGTCAACAGGCGGACGTTCTCATTGTCCAAGTTTGCTACACTTTTGATCTGACTCGGGAACCTTTTTTGTGACACTGGAACGCGAGTGTCAGCACTGGAATAAACAGTGAGTTCTGTTCCGTCACCACAAGGATGTCGTCCCATCCAGTGAAGAGTGTGCGACACCATCTACCAAGATAGTCTGTGCAGTTTTATAGTGTAAGGGACAGGTACACGTACAGTTGGCCACTCTCCCTATACAGTGCATCAAGATGCTTCTCTGACGATTAGAGAGAGAAGTGGGGCTGATTTGTGCATTTTATGTTGTAAGGCAGTTGAAACGGTTGAGGTGTAGTGATTGTCTCTATAGAGCTGAGCATGTTGTCACCAATGTATGATAACTATTCCCAGTAGTGCTTGACCTTTGTGATAAATACTGCTTTACGTTTCATTGTCGCATGCAACTAATAGTCCATTCAGTGGTACTTGAGGTTGCTAGTGTTTATTGATGTAACATTGGTAGCGCATTCTCGGCACCGATAACTGCAAAGTTGTCCGTGAGCCTTCTATTGCACTAGATATGGGAGTGCACTCCTATCTAGTGCTATCACCTGCACAGTCAGGGATAATTCATGTTTGTAATCCTCTATAAAAAGGACCCACCTGAGACGTCCAAGGACTCCACCTCGCTGCAGCACATAACTCTACACACCTGCTAGTCTCTGCTATGATGTCGTCGAGAATGAGTTCTGACGCCATGCGCTTGAACCGCTAAACACCACCAAGCCCCACACAACTCGCACCCCGACACTCACTGCTTATGAACAACTAGATATATACATTGGCTTGTTAGCATAAGTCCTTTTTTGGCTGAGTATCTTTTTGCTATGTGCTGAGTACATTGATGCTATGCTGTTGTATTGAGTCCTCTTTTCATAGTCAGCAAGTGTGCTGCTAGAGAGTGCGCTTGTGCCAAATGAGTTTGTTACTTCTTTACCCTACTATTTACTTGAGTTATATTATCTACACGTTGCGAAACAAATATTATCTTAGATCAGACAACGAATACGCAGGAGAGTGCTCATGCGTGTGCACTATACATGTCTACAACGCAGGAAGATACTATAGCAGTACAATATTATAAGGTTGATTGTTTCATGTTTAATCTCCGAAATATGACAATTTTTAATATTTAACATTAGAAAGAAATCATAAGAAATATAGTAAGTTGAAGTGATATTATAAATATGTGTGTGTTTATTTTTTTAGCAGGAGATAAGCATTAACCCTGTTTCTTATTTCTTCTTTCTGGTCTTGTTCCTCTGTTATATTTAGAATTAAGTTAATTGACATTATAATAAATATCCATTTATTGACCTATACAGAAATACTTTTAATTCATATTATATATTATAAGATCTCAGGTCGTAATCAAAATAACCTTCAATATCCACATCGTTACGTGAGTTCGGGTGGTTCGGATCTGCTAGCGAACTTCTCAAGATCTACACATTGGAACGAGGTGTTTAGGGTATATACCTTCCCCATGCATCACAGTGGTTCATTGAGTCGGAACCACCCCGAACCAGTTACAGGAGAGACATAACTGTGCTGTTATCAGTTACAGCACGGTTACGCGGGAAAAAGCGGCTCAATCGACTCCGCCCGCTCGGCTTCCCAATAGGCCAATAGGCGAACCACCCCGAACTTATGTGACAAAAACTCTACACACTTTGTTATCTCTGGAATGATGTGGTTCAGGAAGGTTCGACGAGGTTTGAACCACCCCGAACAAGTGCATAAGCACCCTGCACACCTTGTTTCCCCTATAACGATGTAGATAGAGAAGGTTCGGTACAGTCGAACCACCCCGAACTCACGTTAACGATGTGGATAGAGAAGGTTATATTATTATTACGACCTGAGGATATTATAATTATATATGAATTAAAAGTTTTTTGTATAGGTAAATAAATGCTATTTTTATAATGTCAATTAACTTTAATTCTAAATATAACAGAGGAACAAGCAGAAGAAGAAGAAAGAAGAAACGGGTTAATGCTTTATCTGCAAAAAAATAAACACACCACATATTTATATATCATTCAACTTACTTATTTCTTTATATTTCTTTTCTAATGTTAAAATAAAATTGTCAATTTGGAGATTAAACAATGAAACAACATACCTTTTTTAATTTGTCTGATATAGACTTCCCTGGTTGTGGCTGTAAGTGCACAACCAGGGAACCTCCTTCGTATTTCGTTGTCTGTCTAGATAAGGCAACGTGTAGATATAAACCAATAAATATAGGTAAAGAAGAACAAACCATTTGCACAACCACCCTGCGCCACTTGTGCAGAAAAATGACTCAAACAACCAAGCATCAAATGACTCAGCAAAAACCAAAAAATTACTCAGCAAAAAAATGACTTAGCAACAACCAATGTATATACTAGTTAGCATAGCAGGGGTGGGGTTCAAGCGCATGTCGAACCTTCTCGAACCACATCATTGCAGAGATAGCAAGGTGTGTAGAGTTTTGTGCTGCCAGGAGGGGAGTCCTTGGACGTCTCAGGTGGGTCCTTTTTATAGAGGATTACAAAACATGAAATTATCCCTGACTGTGCAGGTGATAGCACTAGATGAGGAGTGCACTCCACATAATCTAGTGGCAATAGAAGGCTCACGGACAACCTTTGCAGTTATCTGTGCCAGAAATGCGCTCCAAGTTACATCAATAAACACTAGCAACCTTCAAGTACCACTGAATGGACTATTAGTTGCAGCGGACAATGAAACGGAAGCAGTATTTATCACCAAAGGTCAAGCACTACTGGGAATAGTTACATACATTGGTGACAACATGCTCCAGCTCTATAGAGACAATCAACTTACACCTCAACCGTTTCAACTGCCTTACAACATAAACTGCACAAATCAGCCCACACTTTCTCCTCTAATCGCCAGAGAAGCATTCTTGATGCACTGTATGAGGGAGAGTGGGCCAACCTTGTACGTGGTACCTGTCCCTGTGTCACCTGATAAAACTGCACAGACTATCTTGGTAGATGGTGTCGCACACTCTTCACTGGATGGGACGTACATCCTTGTGGTGGACGGAACAGAACTCACTGTTTATTCCAGTGCTGACACTCGCGTTCCAGTGTCACAAAAAAGGTTCCCGAGTCAGATCAAAAGTGTAGCAAACTTGGACAATGAGAACGTCCGCCTGTTGACTGAGAATGGAGAACATGTTGTGATGAATCTCAAGAACACTTTGGCTGAGCCTCGATACATGCGAGGAGGTACTCCCACTCTGTCAGAGTGGGTTGACTCTTCCAACCACTACATATAATATTTCACGGAAGACGGAACACTATATGTAATCAATGAGACGTCCACACATCCCCTGTATGAACTAGAAAATGCTATGAACAGGTCGATAGAGATAGTGTTATTTTTTGATGGATCAAGTCCAACAGAAGCCTCCGTTAGTTCAGATAACCCTTCGCCAGACACACCAAAACACGATGGAACTGATGTTGGCCAATTTATCCTCTATCACGGACTATTTGGTGGAATCCTGTTCATGATACTCTTCTTAGGTTTATGTTGTTGCTGGTGGACCTGTTGCTGTGGAAGACTGCTCTATATCATAGCCAAAGAATGTGAACAAAAACTTAAAACTGCTAGAAAAAAGGCAAAGAAATCCCAAGATGGTAATGACAGCAGATCAGAGCTGGAGATTGTTAGCACTGACCACAAGGCATATGAAATGGAGCCAGCACCAGAGTCTGCTACCACTTCAGAGGGTGATGATGTGGTTTCGACTGCAGACATTACTCGACCTGGAGAACAGGAGAATTATGGCACCTCAGAGGCAGACACATCCCTTCTGCTTCATGGGGACTTAGAGATTAGATGATCTCTAACACACGGTTCAGCTATTATGTATGCATGCACGCATGTTTACCAAATTTACCATATTATTATAAAGTGACATAAAACGCAGTGTAACAATTCTCTTGTCTTGTGTATTGTTTCTATAGTATCAAAGGATGAGAAAAATATCTATGGTACAAGCTGAATTCAGAGAAACATAACAACAACAGTGGTTGCCTTTTCATGATACAAATTTTGTCTGTAATAATTGATTTTCTTCCGGATAAGGGTATGTGAAGACAGAAGTGTCAACACTGGTGTTGTCAGTATTTGACACCAAGACTGCTCCAGTGGTGTTGGTGGTGTGTTGTTGATTGCGTCCCTCGCTGGCCTGTTGTGGGGGAGAGTGGACGGACGGGAGCTCACTCATTTCACTGCCAGAGCTGAGATGTTCCGGAAAGGTTGTGTGTGTCTCGCTGTTGGAGACGTGGGTGGTCGGGAAGACTGCGGTGCTATTGTGGTGGGGTCCATTGTAGGAGTCAAGATTGTCTGGAGTCGCAGGCACTGGTGGGCTTACAGTAGAAATGGCTGGGTCGGGACTCGGGGTACTGTCACGGTCTTCTGGCCTCCTTATTTCAGGCAACTCTATCATGTTTTGACAGGATTCTAGGTGAATCTCAGCACGGCTGTCATCGCTTTGTGTGCAAAACAATCTTTGGAACGGTGCCCGATTATTTCCTTTTCGCATAAGCACAACAGTTATCGCAATGAAAAGAAAAGCTATTAGCCCTACTACAACTATGCCGCCACAACTCCAACCTATTGCATCAACGTTCGTCCCATACTTTGGCGGAGAGGGTGGATGTGGGTCTGGAGTCGAAGTAGGAATGGGTGTCTGTTTTGTAGCTTGTTCGACAAACAGCATCATTTGTTGTTTATTGGCAACCCCCTTCGGTCCATACTCTGGTTCGATAGATGTATCATTGACAACTACAAGTATGTCGTCTTCTGTGAGGTAAATGTAGTCGTTTGAAGTGCCGACCCACTCTGATAGCACAGGATGACCACCTGGCATTACCCGTTGTGAGCAACTTTCGAGATTTATTACAATGTGCCTCTTTTCCTTTGTCAAGACACGTACATTATCACTGTCCAAGTTATCCACAGCTGTAATCTGACTCCGAAGTACAACTTGCTTCCCCGGAGCCCCATTTTCTTGACTGGTCAACACTGGGCCTTTGACCACTATCACGTAAGTCCCATCTTGCGAAGACAGTACCAGGCCATCAGCTGGGAAACCTCTCGCGTCCGTCCCTTGTTCTATTGGAATCGGTATGACATAGACGACCATTCCATTAGTAGTGTTGCACTGCAACAGTACAGCTGGTTCGGTGTGCAGAGGAGTTAGGATAGGCTCGCTGGTATTCGGGCAGTTTACATTCCGCGGTAGTTCATCAGTCACTGACGATCCATCGTTGACGGTGTAAACTTCCACAAAATTTCCCCCGATTGTCACAATTTTTATCTCTACACCAGTCGTAATAAAAACGGATTTACTGCTCTCTGGGATTGGGTTGGGGTATGTTTCAAGTGCTCGTAGTTTCACGCGACCCCTGGTACCATCAACTGACCCAAATTGCAAGGAAAGCCTAGCACAGATGACGGCAAACTGCTTTGAATCAGCAAATGCCACAAGAGTTTGCGGAGTGCACTGTTCATCCAGCGAGACGACCTGGGATTGTGTTGAAAACTAAGCATGAAGTCACATGTGCACAAGTGTACGGATAATGTATAGCACTAAACTTATGTGTGGGGTTTAGTAGCTGTCCAGGGACCAGCAATCTGTGAAAGTTATCTACAGTCAAAATTGTGTTTGCTACTGAAACAGAGCTTTTGCTGTCAAAGTTTTCCCTACAGAAATGTGGACAGACTATACACCCCAATGCCTTGGGGTAAGTCACACATACCTGCTATGCATAGCAGATGAGGCTACAACAACAGCACTATATAGCAGGAAATACCCCAATGCAAGCAGTTGGGTGGGCGATGCAAAAGAATGGCAATTAGTCATGAAAGGCAGAACTTCGATAATCACACGCCACCAACTCTCTGCAAACTACTGCATTCAGTTGGATTTTCCAGCACCAGCCAGTTTTCGTGTCTGGATTTAAACTATGCTGCCATTTATGTATTGCAAGGCTTTACACTGATGAAGGGCAGTATTAGGAGAATTTCAGACAAGTACGCAAGTGGCACTATGGTAATACATCATAATTGCATACCTGAACCACTTCTGGTGTGACGCTCTCATTGATAGTGACAACTGAGAGAACCCTGTCAGAGAGAATGACAAGAGCTCTGAGTGACTCAGTCTGGAAAGAGAGTCTGGTGACGGCATCATGTGGACAGGAACCACATCTCAGTGACACCCCAGCCAGAGGACCAGCCAGCGACTGTGTAAACTCTCTGGGTTCACTTGGTGGGAGAGGGTAGACCCCTGTTATTAGCTGTCCAGCAAACACTCTGAATAGTAGCAACTTTCCTACAAGTAATACAAAGAACGGGAGTCGTACGTTGTATGGCCAAGTAATCGTGTAAGTGACGTTTGATGTTCGCTAAAAAGCCAATACACCCAAACTCACGGCCGCCCACTCGGGGCCAACGCCAACACACAACACAGCTGTATATGTAACCCGCCTTCAAGGCTGTTCAAGGGACGGGGAAGCAGGAGTAGCAAAAGGAACGCAACTAATTTCGAACTGGAAAACATCCAAGAAGACGTGAGTGGCTGCGGCGCAGTGTGTTCCTCTACAAGACTGGACCTGTATATACGGGAAATTCCCCTGGTTTTCCCCTTTCACTAAACGCATGCGCAT